AACTTATCTGTTGTTTGGTTGGATGACTGCCTTAGTCATTTTATTTAGAATAATGCTGCCCAATTTTTTGTTCCATCACCTCGTTCCTCTTGCCCATCAAGCACGTGCAAATATGCCTTCCTAGCAGTTTGATTATTGACTCGGTGATGGTCTGAATTGATGAAATTATTGAAGTTTGGGTAAACTGGAGTAGGATCCTGGTGAGTGCCATTTCTGCATAGTGGACTGCTCTGATGTTTGAGCATGATGCCCAGTAAGTAAATCCCGGACATAAAATGAAATCTTGTGCTGCTTGGCCCTTCAGAATATGCCAATACAACAGTGACGTCGTGTGCCAATTTACCGCTTCATTGCTTCATAATATATTATGATACAAATGATAGTTTAAGGGCTAGTACTTATCAACTGTACTGAATGCACAATTGTTATTAGCTATGCGCACGTGATACATACAAAGAGTGACATCTGTGTGCAGCAACACTGTTTTTCATTCAGCTTCTAAAGCAAAATAACTCTCTGTTTGAAGAGATGCGGATAATATTTCGAGGAATGGTTGCACGTTGCAGCTTTAAATGACCTCGTGACATTACTGCATTCCCGGTGTACTCTTGACCGCATCATTGTAACTTAAGTGGTATGCGGGTGCATGCGCCTGTCTGTCGGACACATCTAACCACCAAAATACATAGCCGTCATCTCGAGTAGCGACTTTTAACATGTCATCTACACGACTAGCTTTTTAAATGCTTTTCAAACATTGAAACACTGCTCCAATTAAACTGCAGAATACATTGGAACAGCGAGTCTCACTGGAGGTGCTGATAGAGTAAAAGCGTGTGCATATTTAGAGCATATTTTGACAAGTAAGTAACTCTGTGACTTCTGGGTTTGATATCATGCGCACGTACAATCACTTATCGTATAAAAGGATACACCTTAGAAAATAATGTGGACTAAATAAGCTAATTTTGTTCGATTAATTTATTTAACTCATTCTATTTTCTGAAAGCTAAGCGGAACCAACGCAATAATGCCGATGCAAGTGTTTGATATGCTCCTTCCACACCTATAAATAGAACGAGTTTAAGGAGCATTGGGAACGTGAAGTGAAAGAGCAGGCCAGAAAAAACAGAAGGCGCCTTGCCATGAATGTCTAAGGGATCATCAGAACGTGATGTGCGAATAATGGAGTTATCTGAGCAGCTAAAACAATTCCAAAGCACATTCTGCGGCTATCGCTCCACTTGGAAGTCCGATAGCTGCATGCATATTTAGGTTGCCCACCCCAGCCTAAGAATGTCGTCATCCAAACGTTGAGTTTCAAGACATCGAGGGCATCGCTATCAGAGTACTCCAGTTGGGTCAGAGTTTATAAGTAGAACGAACACATGATCCATCTGCGGATAGGGGTGAGCGAATTCGTTGAACAATGCTTTATCGATGCATGACATAAAGTCTGCCACGTTGAGATTGATCGTCTGTAGCCCATGCCTTATGTTTGCCTAAAAGCAACTGGACTACCGATGTGAAGAGGCATATCCAAAATATACACTTTGGCTTGGGGGCGGTCAAGAAGTTAAACGTCGAATAGGCCAGCAGCACCATCAATAAGTACTTGTTAAGAAGAGGATTGAATTGGAGTGTTTGCGACACCACTCAACATTTAGCTGGCGCAAAGAATGACGAGGTGAGATACTGCTTAACTCTGCACTAACTAGCTGATGTATTCCACATAATGCCGTTTCATCACTTGACTGATTTTGATGTTACTTGCACCATTAACATCCTAATCACTATCACTCTGGTTACTGTAATCGCAAATAGGCAATGCTTTTTTCACAGCTTCTTTAACACAGGTGCCTTATTATTCCCACCTTTAGCCATCTCCCTACTTTCCACTACTCAAAAAGGCCCATTTCTCAAAGTGGCTGCCACAGGTAATAATTACATTTGCGGTAATCTGCAGCCAGCGGTTTAGCTTAACTAGAGTTCGCGAAGGTTCGTGAATCTTGCCACTAGCATCTAGCAAACAAAGAGAAGTGCTGTGGGTAGCCGTATCGTCCTGCAGTTTTCTGTCGTAGTTATTAAAATGTCCCATGTTCTTGGTGCAGGTGGTCGAGTCTGAGAGAACACAACAATCACCCATGGTAAAGCCTCTCTTGACCGATGGCATGGCGTCACAGTGGCAGTCACCCTCTTCACTGTCACCGTCATTGTTCAGCTATTCAAACTACCACCGCTAGACCAGGCGGGAACGTCAAATCATCGGCGAAAGGGTCGGGGACCGAGACGCTTGGTAGTAGCGGTGTTAAACCTAGAGAGTGACCATGTGTCTTGAACTTATCTGTTGTTTGGTTGGATGACTGCCTTAGTCATTTTATTTAGAATAATGCTGCCCAATTTTTTGTTCCATCACCTCGTTCCTCTTGCCCATCAAGCACGTGCAAATATGCCTTCCTAGCAGTTTGATTATTGACTCGGTGATGGTCTGAATTGATGAAATTATTGAAGTTTGGGTAAACTGGAGTAGGATCCTGGTGAGTGCCATTTCTGCATAGTGGACTGCTCTGATGTTTGAGCATGATGCCCAGTAAGTAAATCCCGGACATAAAATGAAATCTTGTGCTGCTTGGCCCTTCAGAATATGCCAATACAACAGTGACGTCGTGTGCCAATTTACCGCTTCATTGCTTCATAATATATTATGATACAAATGATAGTTTAAGGGCTAGTACTTATCAACTGTACTGAATGCACAATTGTTATTAGCTATGCGCACGTGATACATACAAAGAGTGACATCTGTGTGCAGCAACACTGTTTTTCATTCAGCTTCTAAAGCAAAATAACTCTCTGTTTGAAGAGATGCGGATAATATTTCGAGGAATGGTTGCACGTTGCAGCTTTAAATGACCTCGTGACATTACTGCATTCCCGGTGTACTCTTGACCGCATCATTGTAACTTAAGTGGTATGCGGGTGCATGCGCCTGTCTGTCGGACACATCTAACCACCAAAATACATAGCCGTCATCTCGAGTAGCGACTTTTAACATGTCATCTACACGACTAGCTTTTTAAATGCTTTTCAAACATTGAAACACTGCTCCAATTAAACTGCAGAATACATTGGAACAGCGAGTCTCACTGGAGGTGCTGATAGAGTAAAAGCGTGTGCATATTTAGAGCATATTTTGACAAGTAAGTAACTCTGTGACTTCTGGGTTTGATATCATGCGCACGTACAATCACTTATCGTATAAAAGGATACACCTTAGAAAATAATGTGGACTAAATAAGCTAATTTTGTTCGATTAATTTATTTAACTCATTCTATTTTCTGAAAGCTAAGCGGAACCAACGCAATAATGCCGATGCAAGTGTTTGATATGCTCCTTCCACACCTATAAATAGAACGAGTTTAAGGAGCATTGGGAACGTGAAGTGAAAGAGCAGGCCAGAAAAAACAGAAGGCGCCTTGCCATGAATGTCTAAGGGATCATCAGAACGTGATGTGCGAATAATGGAGTTATCTGAGCAGCTAAAACAATTCCAAAGCACATTCTGCGGCTATCGCTCCACTTGGAAGTCCGATAGCTGCATGCATATTTAGGTTGCCCACCCCAGCCTAAGAATGTCGTCATCCAAACGTTGAGTTTCAAGACATCGAGGGCATCGCTATCAGAGTACTCCAGTTGGGTCAGAGTTTATAAGTAGAACGAACACATGATCCATCTGCGGATAGGGGTGAGCGAATTCGTTGAACAATGCTTTATCGATGCATGACATAAAGTCTGCCACGTTGAGATTGATCGTCTGTAGCCCATGCCTTATGTTTGCCTAAAAGCAACTGGACTACCGATGTGAAGAGGCATATCCAAAATATACACTTTGGCTTGGGGGCGGTCAAGAAGTTAAACGTCGAATAGGCCAGCAGCACCATCAATAAGTACTTGTTAAGAAGAGGATTGAATTGGAGTGTTTGCGACACCACTCAACATTTAGCTGGCGCAAAGAATGACGAGGTGAGATACTGCTTAACTCTGCACTAACTAGCTGATGTATTCCACATAATGCCGTTTCATCACTTGACTGATTTTGATGTTACTTGCACCATTAACATCCTAATCACTATCACTCTGGTTACTGTAATCGCAAATAGGCAATGCTTTTTTCACAGCTTCTTTAACACAGGTGCCTTATTATTCCCACCTTTAGCCATCTCCCTACTTTCCACTACTCAAAAAGGCCCATTTCTCAAAGTGGCTGCCACAGGTAATAATTACATTTGCGGTAATCTGCAGCCAGCGGTTTAGCTTAACTAGAGTTCGCGAAGGTTCGTGAATCTTGCCACTAGCATCTAGCAAACAAAGAGAAGTGCTGTGGGTAGCCGTATCGTCCTGCAGTTTTCTGTCGTAGTTATTAAAATGTCCCATGTTCTTGGTGCAGGTGGTCGAGTCTGAGAGAACACAACAATCACCCATGGTAAAGCCTCTCTTGACCGATGGCATGGCGTCACAGTGGCAGTCACCCTCTTCACTGTCACCGTCATTGTTCAGCTATTCAAACTACCACCGCTAGACCAGGCGGGAACGTCAAATCATCGGCGAAAGGGTCGGGGACCGAGACGCTTGGTAGTAGCGGTGTTAAACCTAGAGAGTGACCATGTGTCTTGCCCTATACTAAATAGGGAATTGGCATCCGACAGTGAAAAGTATGGCTGAAATCCAAGCTCAACTGTATCAAAGCAGATAAAAGCAGGGTATTTTCTCCTAAACTTCAGTTTAGATGGGCAAATGCTTGGT